GCTGCTGCTGCTGCTGAATAACTCAGCCATTTCCACACTAATTTCAACACAAATTTAAGCAAAGAAAATTCAACCATGAGGACGTCAATTTTGTAAATATGAAGAAAATAAGTCAACGTTTTCGAGAAACATCAAGTTTTAACAATTATTTCATCCAAAATTTGGTAAAACGCACACATTTACCTCTCATAATCGTTCAGCATCTGGGGCGTGATCGGCCCGTTCTGGTTTCAGGACAAGGACGGCAAAACCTCAACAGTCACCTCAGATATCTCTAAACATGCCGAGAAAGTTTTATAGACGTTTGGTGAGAGATCCCTGTGCTGTGCAGGCGTGGTTCCAGTGGGATGGGGCCTCAACCCATTGTTCATACATAAGAATGTCCCTGACATGGTTGCAATAAATGAGCTGAAAATGTACAAATGAATGGTTACCACATGCCTGTCCCCCCCCCCCTTTTTTTCCCATCCCAACTTGATCCCCTTCAATTATTATTACCTTGGGGACTTTTTACATTTTTGTTTTGACAGACAGTGTGTAGGGGAATAACCCACAAACATTCTTTCGAAGTTGCAACTTTAAAAAAACACTTTTACAACAAGAATTTTAAATAAAAAGTAAATTCTATAGAATGATGTCACCATCTAACTTTCTCTCTTGATAAGTCAGACTCAGGTTCACACCTAATAAGCTACTACAATAACACAATGAATACGTTCTATTTTCCTGCGCTTCCCACTCAGGTTCTCTGGCAAAAGACAACTGTGGATGGGACCGGTTTGTGAACATGTCCGAAGTCTCCAACTTTACACTTGTCAGCCCAAACATTTCCAATATTAACCTAAGGTTAGTTTGGGCCTCCTGTCCATTGTATTTTGACCTGGTTCTTTATTTTTTGGGTTTTGTTCTGCTTTTGCCTTTGACTGGGTTGGTTTTGTTTTGTTTTTTAATTCGTTATAAATACCAGCTTGACAATTTGATGATATTTGTGAGGTGAAGGTGGGGGCGTTGGGAGAGGAGGGATTACAAGGTTATATTATTATGTTTGTGTGTATGTGTGTGTGTGTGTGTGTATGTGTGTGTGTTTGTGTGTGTGTGTGTGTGT